AACTTATATGAAATAAATCTCAGACTATAGCAGTTGGATAGCAAAGAAAAGAAGAGAAGAGGAGAGATTGTAAAAATGAAACTTACCTTTTATATATCCAGCTTTCCAGTGCATGACTAGTATATGTCGAAGATAAAAAAAAGAAAGAGATGGATTTACTAATTTTAATGCTGTTAAGAAGTGATCTTCATCTCATGCGACAGACATTCATCATTTCAAACGAAGAAGAAAAAAAAATAATCAGGCAAATATAACTCTCTTTTTATTGCTTACTTGTAACTTTATTACATACTTGAGAGCTCTTTTTTTGGCGAATAAAATTTATTAGTATTAAGCCAATTTGTTTCAAACAATTGCGAAAGTTATGAATTTAGAATCGTTAGTGAACGAGCTCTTTCTCGATCTATTCGAGTATCTCAGCATCTCTCATTTGCTTCGTGCCTTTCATGATCTCAATTTTCGTTTTAATACTCTTCTTCGAAATTATTTTCGAATTCATGGTATTGATTTTCGATCAGTAGCCAAATGTGATTTTGACATTATTTGTCAACAACATCTTCCACTAATTGTAAACCAAATCAGCACACTTCGTCTGTCAGAAAAGCATCATGTACCAAATCAAATACATTGCTTTTTTAATTATGGTTTTTCTCTTCCACTATTCACTCGATTACAATCCTTATCACTCTATTCAATTTCATCAAAGAAAATCATGCAAGCCATCATGCTGCAATTGTCACATTTATATAATTTGACTGATTTGACTCTAGTAGGAACTTCAATGAAATATGATCAAGCCGAAGCTATCGTATTAGCGAATACTATTTGGAGTTTACCTAAACTTATTTATTGTTACTTAGATGTAGGTGATTTTTATGGATCAACAGTAACATCATTGTCTCTGAAACGTATCTTTATTCGACGTTTCTCATGTCAGTTTAATGCATTCAATAATTTGATCAAAAATACACCACATCTTCGACATTTTTCTGTGCCGCATCTAAGTTTTACTTCCAAAAATCGAGATCTACCACCAATTATTCCACTAATAACTAGATTAAATATTGGATTTAGCAAGATACAAGTAAACATAATATTCAATTTTCTACAAAAGCTATCTAATTTATATCACTTAACCGTTCGTACATGGGATATATGCATAGATGGAGAAGAATGGGAATATATCATTAGTAATTATTTACCAAAATTGAAAAAATTCCAATTATACATGAATTTTCAATATCAGGGAGCAATCGATCAATTATTGCATACATTTCAAAGTTCATTTTGGCTCGTAAAACATTGCTGGCCTGTTCAATGTAACTGGAAACTAGATAACGAAAATATTAGTCTTTATACTTTACCATATGGTTTCCATACTTTTAATTTTGTCTATCCAATATTATCAAAATCAACGAGTTCTATCAATGATAACGATTATTGGTGGTCATACGATTATGTGCATCGTCTTATGTTCAAAAATCGATTTTATCAAGATTCAATTTTATCTAATATACAATTTATTCAACTTCGTCACCTGTCTCTAAGTTTTCCTGTGGTTGATCAGTTTTGGTCAATTATTCCAACTTTCAATGAACTAACTTCACTCGAAGTATATTCATATGATCATCATGAATTCTGTCAAGATCAACTACAAACATTGCTTGATCGAGCACCTCGCCTGTATTCTTTCACTATCCGTGAAAATTCATCGTTATCTACGCAAAGAGCATCCCTATTATTCAACAGTGTTTCAGTTCGTGAACTCAATTTACGATATTCTCATAAAGCCTATACAGTTAAAGAATGTGTTGCATTGAGTAATTCTCCATTAGGTATGCAATGTAAAACACTTATAATCAATGTCAAAAATCGAGCATGTGTACTTGAACTGATTAATCGAATGTCGAATCTTCTATCTTTGGTTGTTCGATGTTCAGATGACAAGAACGATATAAAGTCATCAGCGACAAGTGATGATATTATCGAATGGTTTCGTGATCGACTATCGCAATCATCCACAATATATAGATACGGTGGTGTTCATAATTGGATTGGACTGTGGATTCATCGATAAATGGAAAGATATTATTTTCTTCTCGCACTAGGCTTCAATTGTAATTGTAAAGTGCAGACATCAACATTTTTTTTTTGATTTTCACATCACATAATTTAGCTATTTTCTTTTGAAAATTGTTAATTTCAATGTTTTTTCTCTTCTTTTCACCACAGCGTCGACTCTTATCATTTGATACACTATTCATTCTAATGAATCTTGAATATATGTTGCTACTTCTTCATACAGGATATTAAACATTGTTCGAGCAACAAAGCCTTACTTTCAATTTTACATTGAGACACCATGAGATTCAATAATTCTGCTTTAATTATCAATCGTATTTCATCTAACATTGATAATACGTAATGAAAATATTTTTTTCCCATTGTCCTTATGATGTACATTCAAATGAATCATATATCTATTTGTTGATGTGGTCATCGTACCACTGTAGGTTTTTCACACATGTTATAAATGAAAATCTTATGATTCCATAGTATGAACTATATTTGACAATTTAGTACTGGATTTAAAATATGTCGAAATTTCTGAGTGAATCAATGGGGTATGAGTGTGAGTCTTCTGTTTACTCACACCTTACACTCACATCCTTCGCTTACTTTTCTTGCCATATGACTTATTTTATCCTAGTCACTGACTGAAACAAACATCGTGGCATATTTCCCTTGACATCCGACTATGGATCGTGTCAAAAAACGAAGACTTTCTTGATAGACAACAAAGTCGATTTCATCATGTTTCACATTTGAATTTCATAGGGGATCGTGCTCATAGCTAGTTTATTGTTTTGATTTATTTTTTTGAAATCGTATTTGTCACTAACATTCTAAATTCGCTGGATCAGTATTGAAATAGAGATGTTGTGTTGTAAAACCACCCAGTTCATCGTTGAGTTTCGGTATACATGTTGGAACAGGAATAAGAAATGACTAAATTAAGAATCAAAGAATAAAACACAAGAAAAAAAAACAGGAAACATCTACCGAAATCGCTGACGTCAGTACTCGTTCAGTACGTCGTGAAAAATTAAGATTAGCGACAATATCCCATCCGAAGCCACTCAATTGACCCTTGTTATACATGAGAAAACTCGGAAAAAAGTCAGAGCAATTCTTGTCCAATCGATTATCGTACCAGTAATGAATACCTTAAATTTAAAATGATCATGGTGAACAAAAACACATAAGTGAGAGAAAAATATAATCACCCGTTGTCTTGAAACATCTACCTTTAACCCATTTTGTTTTACCGATATCATTCTCCCACAAAGGTATTTCAACAGAATCTATGATTGGATTCGTTCCATTCTGAAGAAAGAGTCCTGTTCCTGTTCCTTCATGTTCGAGTTGTGAAAGCGTTCGTCCATCCGTACAGATTAAAGCTTAAATCATAACAATAATAATGGATACAAACAAGAAGAAACAACGAACCAGGTTGAATGAAATAAGCGGTCAAAGTATACATCTCGATGCCATTAATCATCTCCACATTGAACATTTTTTGAGTACCAAACGAATAATAATTGCCTTTGATACTTGAACGAGGAAACTTTATAGAAGAAGAATTTCGCGTAGAGAAAAAGAAAGAAACAAACAAGATTACTCACAGCTATTTGAATACCAGCAATGGTACCTTGTTTATCGAATATAAGAATGGCTCCAGTATCATTACCTTTCCAGTAGCGATAACCAATCGTTGTTTTACCTAAATTCGATCAGTGATCAATTAGTAATTATTGTTTCAGAGTCTAATGAAACAGATAATGCTCAGCAGTTAGAAGTGCAAAAGATCATCTGTAAAGAATTGGAAGGAATAATCTTATGCAAAATTCTCTTATAGATTGCCAATGACTATTTGAATCGTATTGATTTTTGGATAGATCAGATAAAAGTTCCTTCTTTTACATACTTACCGGCACACTGTTCTCCGAGAGCATTTGGCAATTGTTTGTATTGTTCTTGCAGTGCTTGTTGTACTGTTCGTGGCTGTCTAACGTAGACTTCATCGTTTGATACTAATGGATCAGGACCCCATCTGATCTTCAATGTGTTCCATTCAATTTTTCGTTTGATTCCGTCGGATATGGATAATGATTGTACATCTTAACATAAGATAAGAGAGAGAGAAAGATTTTAACGTTTGATAGTATTATTTCATCCTACTAGCAACAAAAGCCAACAAAAGAACAAAAATACTTTGAATCATCGTATGCTATTCGTCAATATCGACTATTACAATAGATTAAAGACTCATATTATGTATATATACTCCTGCCAACAAACGCATTTTGCGATGATGACAGTGCGAAAAAATACTAATCTATCACTGAGATATTTAAAAAAAAGCCATTCTAAAAGAGCACATATTACTTAATTCCAATGCAAATAGCAACAATAAATGATTATAGAACTGAATAAAAAATCTATATAATGAGTTTAACAGGTCTAAACAATAAGACAGAGCGATGTAAAAGTCTAGAAGTAGAATCGATAATAAATGTAAAACAAATGACATTCCACAATTTTCATTACGGAGCTTCCTTTTTAACTCTATATTCGTCTATTCTAAAAAACTTTTCACAACTATACATGCCGTCGAATGAAGAGACAAGGAAATTCGATGACAAGCGAAGATGTATGGAGCAAAAATGCATCAGTTTTTGGACAGCACTATCCATAAACACCTGATATGCAAGTGAAACGTATGCCAGAAGTGCAGTACTGCCTTTGGCAATCAAATAATATATGTTTGTCACTATTCTATTTGTTGAGCTGGTAAAACTATTCACGATCATATTAGGTACTTTTTCTTTTACACTGAGAAATAGGTGAGAACAAAATTCGCATCCTTCCATGAAAATAGAACAATTGAATTCACAAAACTGATACTATCAAGAGTGACATCACTATATTAACAGGCTTTGATGTGACTACCAAAAAATCGAAATAAACAAGATGATAGAAAGTTTACTAGAGAGATATAGCTCAAACACATCTACGGGAATATTTTCAATAATACCATACATGGGTACATATATGGGAAGGGAAGACGAATAACCTCATCCTTCATGTTGACAAATAATAGGGTTCTTTGCTCCGCTGTTGAAAAAATATCTGTGCTCGCCAAACCTTTAAAGTTTTGGTTTATCTTGAACTTCCTCTACTCCTAAATGTTCATTATCAGGTCAGTAAAGATGCACTTTTTGCTAAAATTTTCGGAACTTACCAATTTTTTAATCTCATCCATTCTCAAAAGCATTACTAACGCTGATTCCGATGAATGATGTCACTCAGAAGTATGTTTGAAGAAATTTCACGGAACATTACAATTGTTTTCGGCTGACAAACACATCGAACTTGAAATTTTGCCATTCTAAAGCAAACAATACGGTCTGATTGTTTGAATGCTAATTGAAATCTAGAAAACGCCAACAGAGATCACTTTCGTGTCTTAACACAAGCGCATACAAAAAGAAAAGCTCTCACTTGATCGATTAGAGCTATTCTTATGTGGTCTATTGAATGGATTAACAGATAACAAAAGTATTCTCAAAGATACTCTTAGTTTTGATGAACAGTTTAGTAACATAAATCAATGTCAACTACCGATTATAGGTAAGTAATTACTAGAACTTTCAAAACGAACGATATCGAATCTAGTTTTTAGTATCTCATTTGATCTTAGTCTCACTGTAATGAAATTCAAAAGGGATATCGACGATGAATGTAGGATGTTTAATCGGACAATAAATATTGATCTTTTATTCATAATTAAAAAAAAACCAGTTATTCAGCTTGGCAAAATAAAATGAAAAACCTTTTGTTGTTGAATAAAACTGACATTGTATACATCATTTTTTTTATTTCAAACTTCTGCAACATACAACAAACACATGACATTTGTAATATTCATCATATTATGATTTCGTAAATATAATAATCAAAATATATTCGTAACTGCAAAAGAGTATTGTATCAACCATGAGAGCAAATAACCGAAGGAAAACATAAATAAATAGATGAATGAACAATAAAAACTCATTTCTTTCGTTATTTGGCAAAAAAAAGTACAAACAATTCTTTTTTGTAACAGTGGAACGAAGTTACAACACTGATAAAGAGGAAGGTAATAATGGATCGAAAAGACAAGAAGCAAGTCCTCTTTCAGATTCAGCCACCTAAGAAGAAAATGAACATTCATTTTTTTACAGATTGCATTGCCTTCCAAAATTAACCTTCATCGGGTTTCTACTCGACGCTTTTGGATTAGCAACAGTACTGACTTTCTATCTAAGTGAAAAAGGTGAGTATTGAATATGCATGAATCTTTTGATTTTTTCTTTAAAGAAGCTTGATAAAATTCTATCATGATATCAATCTTATCATTATATTTTCTGTCGAGAGAAAATGAGTATATTAATCTATTTAGCTTTGCATAATAATTTTGTTAGATGGAAAAGAAAATACTCATTTAACTGAAATAATTTTAGAAAACTCGACATCAATCAATAGTACAAAGCAAAGAATGCAGCTTCATTTTATTCTTTATTTATTAATAACATAATTGTAAACAAGAGCTTTCGTCAAAATAAATTCATGTAAGTCCATGATAAAAAGAAAGACAGTATTTTATGTGTATATAATCCTTTTCTAATAGGAATAGCAAGCAAACTTGAAATTCACCAAAACTCACAACTAGTTCAAAAAAAATAAAGATACTATAAATGCAAAGAACAAAAAACAGATGTTCATTGATTACATGACAGTGAAATTAAAAACAACTGTGCGAGCATTAGTACATAAACTAGGGAGCTGCAGATCCTTACAAATTTGGATCTAGAAGCACAGCTTTTCTGAAGTTCGAGTCTGGTGCACAAAAACATGAATCTTCACTTTTCTATCGGTAAGTATCGACCATTATTAGAATTTTTTTGTGCAAGATTTATTTTTAGCTGAGCTCGATCGAAACTAGCTGATTCATTTTATAAAAATGCATAAAACTTGATGGATACTTATTTGAGCATGGGACACTATCGGTTATTACTAACAGAAGATAACACTTTTCACAATCTTTCTCTTATTGTTTTATCGTTTGAAGACATTAATTTTTGTTCAATAAAATGATAAATATCAACAAGTTTGAAACTCGCTACCTTTGTTCAACAACATGTTTACTTTATTTAGTAATTCTAAATAAATAAATGAATCTTATTTTTCTTTATTAACGAATCCACATTTGAATATGATCAAAACCATTAGTATTGCCTCTGATAATTATACAACTCTTCGATAAACAATCTTTTAACCATTTAATAAGTTTATCTTCTGTTGATAGGTCATCATCGTTTCTTTGCCATTTATCATCTTGAGATCGAACATATAACACTCGAAGATTTTTCATTCCATTAACTAGATTAACAATGCTATTTCGTTCTTGTACAGTAATAAATAATTCTTCACATTGAATTCCTACTGATGAATGTATCAAACTCTCACAATGTTCTTCATTAAAACATCCAAATTCAAATAGACAAAGGCGACGAATCGATGAACTTGTAAGATTGAATAACAATGTATATGAAAATAAACATTCAGACAATGTTAATGAATAAAGACAAGGAGCTCGTTGAAGTAATTTTTCAATTGGTAATTGACTTACAACAATTTTCGATAGTTTGATATTTAATGAAATTAATTTATTAAAATTTGGAACAATAGACCAAAATGAATCATCAAAAGGAAGATGTAACTTAAGACTATAAAGATTAGGAAATCTAACGGAAGAATTGATTGAATCAATAAAAAATAAATTATGTACATTGTTATAAGACCAATGAATTTCATGATTTGGACATGTTGATTTGAACTGTACATCTGAATTAATTGAAAAATCCTTATAATAATATGGTAAAGTGTAAAGATAAGCTTTATAAAGTTTATTCGATAAATACCAATGACATTGAATATACCATTGATGTTTAATAATCCAAAATTGACTACGAAATGAATCAAGTAATTGATTGACTTGTTCTTCTTTTTCATTATTTGAACGAAGATAAAATTCCATTTTAAAATGAAATATTTTTAAATTAAATAAATGATTATTTATAATCTGTTCCCATTGATATCCATCAATAACAATATGTGCTAATTCAATAGTTAAATGAGTTAAATTTGGCAAATTTTTTAATAGATTATTTGTTATATGTGGAGAATATTGAACAAAAATTTTTAATTTTTTCATTGATGAAATATCAAACAAAATTTCTTGATAATCATAATTATGTTCAATATCAATAGTTAAATTTTCAAGATTAATTGTATGTTCAAATAAACGATGTAATTCATTGGAATTATAACAAAAACCTTCGAGATATAAATATTTTATTGATAAAGATATATTTTGTGGAGAAATAAAAAATGGATTCCATAAATATTGCTTTCGTTCAAAATGACAATGAGTTAATTTCGGTAGACTCCAAATTTGATTAAAAATCCATCCATTATTGATTAAATCATCATCAACTTGACATTTATCTATTTTCAGATGAGTAAGATGATGAAGATGTTGTAAATCAATTATTATATTATACATAATTTGTTCTGAACCAATATAACCTAATGAAAGAAATTTTAAATAAGTAAATTGATGAAATAAAAAACCATAAGAAAGAAAATGATTTATTTGTTGAGGTGTTCCATTATTATCAGAGAGACGAATTGAAATGACATGATCGATAAGTGTTCGAAGATATTGTTGACAAATGATGTCAAAATGAGTTTTGGATATTGATTCAAAATTAAAATGACCACGAACTTGAAAATGAAAGAAAAGAAGTTTATTGAAATGAATATTAAGACCATAAAATGCACGAAATAGATGAGTAATATTGAAATATTGAAATAGATTCAGTAATAGTTCATTCGGTAATAATTCTAAACTCATCTTTTGAAAAAAATGAATCGTTTTCAATATGAGTCAAAACTGATGAAAAAAAGAAAAAGGTTTTCTTTTTCTTCTGTTGTAACAACAATTAGTAAACACTAACAGTAATATTATTCTCTTTCTCACGATTCTTTTTCACTTTCTTTTATTTATTCTGATAGTGTTGTTATTTGTGTGTAGAAATGTAAGTCAATCTGCCGCAGCGCTACCGTCAGTGGTTGAAACAGTTTTAAAACATATTAGTCACCGCCGTTCAATGAAATTGGCTTACACCTCTATTTATGTCTAGTTTCAAAATCACATATCCATACAGATACGAAGTATCTTTTTTTTTTAAATGTGTCGTACTATGAAGAAAAATATGATATTTATCATAGGATCCTATGTGGATATTAAGATATATCTTCGATGAAAAGGTATACTATCTCTATTTGTTAAGTATTTCGATTGATTACCAAGAAAATAAAATACGATGCAACATAGAATTTGTATATTAGAAAATATTTTTATTTTAAAAACTTATTGCAAAATAGATTGTAATTTTGATCTTAGACTGTTATCAGTATGTAAAAAAACATGATCTTAATGTTGCTATGGACTTGTGTCAAATAGTAGAAAATTAAATTTTCCTCTATGAGCTAAAGTTGGTTCATGATCATGAAAAATACACGAGTACGAGCAGTCTCTCACAAAAGTAGACCGTAATAATAGATTATGATTTAGAAATATCGGCATTAAAAAAAAAGTGGAATATTACAAAGTGAGATTCAATAAATAATCTATTCAAGACAACAAATTATATCTAGTAGTTAATTACTGAAAATATTTCTATTCAATATTAAACACGAGAAGATCGCACAATTTCAAGATGAATTTTCTTTTGATATATTAAAAAATAAATTTTTGACTAACGCAAGCATAGTCACCGGTGAAAAATAATGCTACATACGAGTGTTAAAATTATCATGTCACATGTAACTCGAAGATTCCTGTAGTATGATAAATTATCTAAGATGTAGTCATTTCCACTTCTTCAACTCTAAAATAAAACATTTTATTCAAAAGAAACAAAATGATTTTATGATTTCTAGCGATCTCTATGATTGAAAATGCTTAAAAATGAAAGAAAATTAGGAGAAATCATTAGAAATCATGGCTTTATTTTTTATCTTATTATTTGAGTTTTTTTTTGTGTTGTAGAATGGTTTCTAATGGTCTCCGACGATTTCCGATAATTTTTAACCACGTTCAGTCATTATTCGTATTCTTTACCTGTTATAGTAGTTTCTAGTATAGAAATCAATTTATTTCCCTTTGCACTTTACTGGATAAATTGCTATGCATTAATAATTAAACTAGTGAGACAATGGTATCTAAATCGCACTAGTCAATATTATATCACTATGAAATTATTTGAGCAAAAGATTAATTTAAGCAAACGAGGAAATGATTACATGTTTTTAAAACTTAATTTACTAAAGTAGGACCAAATATAATCAGATTTTTATTCGAGGGTGTGCAAATCATTCTGTTTTTGGCATAAAAGGTACTCAGGGTAAGAGTACATTTGTAGTAAATCAATGAAAATTAGCGAGAAGAATTCAAGATATGTCAAAACAAGATCTTTTTTTAATGCTCTTTTTGGATACAATGCTAAGTTTTTCTCATACATTCTGTTCAGTTAAGTTTGACCCATATTCTTGAGAGATTCTATGCAGGACTCGCAAATTCAATCTAGATTGCAACCAATTCAGTAATGATTATGACGTTTTCTATCATCATTCTTTTCTCATCATGATCAATCCGATATGAATAAAAACGGTACTCTCGTCTTTAATCTTTATCTTTGGAGAAGAAAATGCTGTTCCGTTAAGTAATTCTTTCTTATCGACAAATAGTTACTACGTAACTTATTTGTTCAGATATTTTTACAACTGAGAACACTAAACAATTTGTTTACCTTATATTTGCTAAAAACTGTTTATTCGTACGTTTACCTAATCAAGCAAGCTAAAGCATGATTTTGAAAAGATATTTGAGCACGATACATTCAAACGTAAAAGTTATTTATCATGAGTCTTCGAGTTTCTATAAAGACGAGTTTATCTCAATATCCATGACAAGTAAAAAGAGCTTGATAGAATTTAGAAACAATATTATTTTTTGTAAGAACATTTTATTCTATATGAATTGAGCATTACTTCAAATCTTCATTGTATAAGCTTTTGATTCAATAATTAGTGAAGAATTTTAAATATGTTAACAGATTTATATTACTAAAAATTAATCATATATTAACAACTCATATAATTGTGTATTTCTGTGATCAAAACTTCATATCTATACTAAATATTAGTGAATAATGAGCATGTTTTCCTTGATTTGTTCTAGCTCCTCTTCTTATTGTTTAGGATAACTAGGATCTTATCGTGCAATTCTATCATCTTGTTGTACATTTTATGCGTTCAACATAATGAAAATTATTAGTGCTAACTATTGCTGGTGTTCAATAGATTGGCTTCTACTTTTTTTTATTTCTTCCTACATGACTATATTGTTTTAGCAAAACAAAATTTCAATTCAATGATGAACGCTGAATAATATGAATATTTAAAATGATGAATCAGAACAATACGAGATGCACCAGATCACAAACAACTACAGTCATATGAATTATGATCTATATTGAAAATATTCACAGTCAAGTTTGCTCTTAGTTTTAATCTGTTATTAGTAAATCTATAGTTCATTTTGATTCATCACACGATGTTCGGCATATTTTTTTTTGAGCTTAGGCAATTACCTTTTGAACAGAGTTCTTCAAATAAGAAAAATATGCATTAATTATTTCAAAAATTTGTCAAATTCTATCGGAGTCGTTGAAGTTGCAATAGCCTCTTACAAACATACTCTTTGCTATTGCATTATTAATGCGAAGCAATGTTCTTTTGTTCTATATTATAAATTCAAATACATATGACGTATGAAAAATAACATTATCATTATATAAAATCTTTTATGTTTATTCCAAATCGACACAAATATTGGTACTATTGAAAATAAATTCTCTTACGACATTCTATTTAGTATTTCACTAATTATTTAGAATTGTAAGCAAAATACTAAAATGAATAGAATCATTTCTGCTTGATCAATTGGAAAAAACCTATAATAAATGTTTTTTCGATACGTCATTATTTTTCATAGTTTTACCGAAATGATTTTTAATTTGTATTTATCACGTTTTTATCGTTGTTCCCATTAGCCTCAAAATCATGTCAGACATTATATGACATTTCCTAAGGACACAATACAATCTTCAATATTATAACAAAAGTCAGGTCAGCAGTAAAAGAAACAACGTCATATGTCATTTTCTGGACGATCTCGTCTAATAATTTTTCAAACATTTCTTTTCTTTGTATTTCCTCTTCATATTAAAAACAAAATGGTATATAATATTAAACTTTGTAATATATTCAGCAAAGATTTCTTTATCATTTTTCACAAGGTCTTCATATAACTTTTAAAAAAAAGAGGTTGATCATAATAACATGAAATAACAATTAGCATTGGTACATTGAAAAAAGAAATAGTTTTTTACAAGTTTTATTTATATCTCATAAAAATAAAAAGAATAAGAAAAGTTATTAGAGTTGATTGCATCATAAGTGTTTCTTTCATCTATGTATAAAAGAAATGAGAAAAAAAAACTACACTCGCGGTTTTTTTATTTATGATACGATTGACTTCAGACGGAAACACATTTGCAGACGTCTTGAGAAAAGTAAAGTAGACGATGTATTGTTTTAAATGATTCCTCTTTAAGCACAAACCTACTATGAAAAATGATATAACGCGTTTTTATACAATTTTTTTTTGTAAGTCTACCATGCTATAATATACTAGATTGTGAGATAAGCCTAATGTTTAGTATCGTCCTATCATATATGAATATATTTTATCGTTTGAATACCGCAGATGTACTCCTTTGTTTCCTAACCCTTTTCTATCATTTTTCAATGAATTTCTCGAACCATATACTATAAAATTAGTCTTTTATAAATTTTTTGAATAATCGAAAGATATTTTAGGGTATCTGGTGTAATCATGGAGTGAAAATATAATCACCCAAGTGAGTTATGAATTTTTTTTGAAGAAGGATCTCAAACTTCAAAAATGACGGTCGAGTTTAAAGTAGCTCTATTTCAGTAGTTATTAAGAAGAGTTAACACGTCATATTTGTATTGTAGATAGAGAAAATTCAGAACCAAACTTTGCTAAGAAGTAAAATTTTTCATCTTTCTTGAGTTAGGATTTATCAGCAACCAACATTCGATAGTAAAAAAATTCACACAAATCTAGATGATGGTTGAACAATCATACTCAAATGGTTAGTTTTCTTTTCTTCAAAATATTTATTTGAGTGAAATACAAACGATATATAGTAACAAAAAATCTATCAGAATTACAATATTTTTCATTGAAAAATTCTATTTCTTTTCTGTAATTATTTCCTGACGTATAGAACCAAATAGCAAAAGAAAACGACCGACATTGAAAATTAATTTCCATATTCAACTATTCTTATGTCAAAATCTTTTTTTTAGGTTTTAATTTAGGTTAGTTTTGTTTTAGTATTTGTTTAAAGAAAAGTATTCACACAAATTAAATTGAATTTTTTAGAATATGTCTAAATCGTTTTAGTAAAAAGAAAAATAGAGAATATAAGAAAAAAGCTAAATGTAATAAAATCTTTATTCTTGGAAAGCTAATATTCAAAAAAAGAACTGATTCGATTAGACGAAAACTATTGGATAGCTAGCAACAAAGTAGTAAAAAATAACTCATTTTGAAATGACGTTCCAGTACTGATGTTTAGTAGCGACTGATTGTCTCTAACATCGACTTTTACTAAATACATGATTTTTTTTTTAACGGAAAACTTTTCAGAACCCAACTGGAATGAAAGATTTTTATTCTCAAATAACAGATGCATG